GGCATTCTGGTATTTTTGTTTCTGAACAAAAAAGAATAAATTCGAGGCTCTCGGTGAGAGCCACATTAGTAAGGATTTTATTTCCTACGGTGGTTTCGAATCCCCGGTTGTACGTGACAAGGAGTAGGGTCGCATGTCCAACCTCGTGGGTTTTCTCCGGGTCCTCCGGTTTCCTTCCACTGCTACAGACCCCTACGCGCAAGCGAATTATTGAACTAAAATTAAACCGTATGTTAGTCCTGAAAAATGACCTAGTTTGTGTCGAGTGGACGCTAAACCTCTCTCTCTCTCTCTCTCTCTCTCTCTCTCTCTCTCTTTCCTAAATATGAGGTTTTTTTTCCACTATCTTGGGGTTAGGGCTAGGGTTTCTTATAACTAGTTGATTTTATTTACTAAGGGTTTATTTACTGGTGTTATTTAGTCTTAATTTACTGTGCACTAGGATGCCATTAAGATTTTTATTTTTAGAGTATGCAATTATAAGTTTCTGTGTGAAGATTATCAGGTGATTTTCTGATGTTACTTGACTGACAAGAGGAATCGACTTTGTGACCTCCTTATTAGAGAGCCAGCCACTAAGGCAACGTCACTCCCTCACATGATGGTTTAATAGGGGTCTTTAAGTAGCTGTAGGGGGATATCGGGGGACCCGGAGAAAACCCACGAAGTTGGACAGGCGAAACTAATCCTTGTCACGTACAACCGGGGAATTGCAACCATGTCAGTTGAATCAATGACCGACCTTATGATACACCGCGCACGAACTAACCATTTAGCCATCCAGCCCCCACACTTGAAGACAAACAACAGTGTGTTTATATTGGATATTTTAGGAATGATTTGGTTAATGACTTCAAGTCTGAACTTTTATGTAAACAGACACAAATTACCTGTGATGATGGATATTGCATGTATGCTAAACGTCCACTCATCACCAACTGGGTTATCATTAGCTACGAGAACCTAGCCAAAAATGTTGAGATATACTGATGTGTTTGTTTTTATATCTACGAGTGGATGCCTTTAGTTTCACCTGGCAAACTTATTTTCTTTATGCAAGATCTTTAAACTTGAGTAAACTGGCGCGATTTGATTCCTCGCTTGTACGTGACACAGAGTAGAGTTGCCTGTCGAACCTCGTGAGTTTTCTCCGGTTTCCCTTCACAGCTAAAGACCCCTTCGCGCAAGCGAATTATGGAACAAAATTGAACCATGTCAATCCCGAAATGACCTAGCTAATTCTAGATCTGGTCAAAACTCCAAACAGTGAAATTTTAAATATATTATCTATTTTGAAACTATTATAGCACGAACGACTGGCTTTCTATCAAAAGCTTACATAATATATCTTTAATAGCTGTCGTGGGCGGGGCGGGGGGGGGGGGGGTGCCGAATGATATGAATAGCGTCGTGGGACAAATTGTCGCGCCAATAAATGGTCCAATACATTTCCACTGCAAACAGATTTTTAACTTATCAGGGTGGCCTGAAACTTTGATTCAGATGTTTTGCCTTCGGGTGAAATCAGTCTTTTATCAAAATGTCAAAGTGGAATCAAAACGTGGAACATCTTAGATTATCCCACTGGCAAGACGTATCAGATGTCAAAGTTCATTCAAATAGATAGTTACAACCATGGTCTATAAAAGTATTTTCAGCAAGTAAGCAATTAGTTTCAGTTTAATATTCCCCAAAATAACATGTGGTGTGCCGCAGGGTTCTGTTCTAGGGCGAATCACATCCTAACACCATGATAGTGTTACACTTGATTAAGTCAAACAGGCAGGTCGTATCTTGTCATTTTTTGACAAAGTCGTAGTTTAGCAAATCCAAGGTCTAAAAGATAGGCACCGGGGTTATCTTGTCATACCTTGACAAAGTCGTAGTTTGACTTTCAGTTTAACAAAGGGAGGTTGGATAGCTGAATGGTTAGCGTGCGCGCGCTGTATCATAAAGTCTGTTATTGAGTCGACTGGTGTGGTTTCGAATCCCCGGTTGTACGTGACAAGGAGTAGGGTCGCCTGTCCAACCTCGTGGGTTTTCTCCGGGTCCTCCGGTTTCCTCCCACTGCTAAAGACCCCTACGCGCAAGCGAATTATTGAAATAAAATTTAAAAAAAACATATGTTAGTCCCGAAATGACCTAGTTTGTGTCGAGTGGACGTTAAACCCCATTTCTCTCTCTCTCTCTCTCTCTCTCTCTCTCTCAGTTTAACAAAACCAAGGTCTGGAAGGTATTTATATATAGCCAATTAGATAAAAAGTGTTCTTGGATAGAAACGGACGTAGGTTTCATTGCCTGGCAACCAACCATATTTATTTTAAGTTGTCTATCGTCTAATCCAATTATCTGTTATATGTAAGAATTTAATACGTCGTGTATTATTGGTTGTTTTATATAACTGTCTATATACAAAACGTGTTTCATCTCGATCTAATCAGATCTGATTACACTCAGATATAAAATATATCTTGTCAGTTTGTTTACATCTCGTGTAAAATATCATTGCTTTACATCAGTTCCACCCGTTCCCACCTGTAGGGTGTGAGGCGCCTTGCCAGTTAGACTTCTCTTTCTGTATGTTTGAAATAACTGTATTTAGAGAGAGAGAGAGAGAGAGAGAGAGAGAGAGAGAGAATGGGGTTTAACGTCCACACGACACAGATCAGTCCATTTCGGGACTAACGTGTGGTTTAATTTTATTTCAATAATTCGCTTGCGCGTAGGAGTCTTAAGCAATGGGAGGAAACCGGAGGACCCGGAGAAAACCCACGAGGTTGGACAGACAACCCTACTCATTGTCACGTACAACCGGGGATTCGAAACCACGCCAGTTGACTCAATGACAGGCCTCATGATACAGCGCGCACGTGCTAATCATCCGGCCATCAACCCCCGCTGTAGGTAAATCGCTAATATTTGGGATCTAGAAATTGACACAAATGGGTCTCAACGTATATAATAATGTAATATGAATGTATATAAACTGATTTACATTCAATCGTTTCTGTTTTTACTCTAATCAGTTATGATCAGCGAAATACGTCAGAAGTCTCAATCGAATGGCAATCTCTAGCGTCTGGTTATTCCCGTCTATAGCGATAGTATTTATTGCGCATGCTCTCCAGATAAGAATTTGGCGTCTTCGTTTGACATGACTTGTGGAATATATCTAGCCTCATTCTTCGGGTCCCTTGTTACAAATGGCGCTGAAACGCATAATGGTACACGATTCATGTAGCCTACCAATGGTAAAATGTTTACAGTTTGAATTCGATAAAGAATAGGCATAATGTTCCGCATAGCATGGCTTGCGGCTGTGGTTTCGATCCCTGGTGTAAGTGTATGTGGCTTGGCGATAGGGGCGCCTTCTCTGCCTCGTGGGTTTACTCCGGGTACTCCGGTTTTCTCCCACAGGAAAGACCCCTGCGCGTCCGCTAAGATAATAAAAATGAAAAAATAAGATTTGTCTGCGATATCACCTTCGATGGAAGCGGACGTTAAACACTAAGAACAACAACAACAAATGGGGTTTAAATTCTAACATCTTCGCTGAACAAACGCCATGTAGTGTGCTATGAGGGATATAAATGTGTGTGCGTGTGGTCTAAAGATTTTATACCTTATCATATATCTAACCGTGTTTATATTTAAAGATAAGAATTATACACTTTTCTCCGTGTATCGCATCACTAACTAGATACACACATAGAATTACACAACCTGTACATCTAATAGCCCGTTCAGGCGCTTAAGTTGGACTGGTTTTTTAAAAAAAAAAACGGGGATCGTTAAACCAGTTTAACTTAAGCGTCTGAACGCAAATGTGGGGCAAATAAACCAGTTTAGAAACCCCAGCTCGCGACCTGTCTTCGAGAAGGCTTTTTATTTTAAACTGGTTCATCTTAGCCGTCTGAACGGGTTGGTTTAAAAACCCCGGCTCCAGCTTGCTTTGAGCATGCGCAGTACGCATTAAGTTACATTCCTTTGAAAATATCGAGGCCAGACAGTGCCAATGTTATCGAAAGCGTGCGATAACCGAATAAAGAATATGATGCTACCCATGCGTAGTTAACTCTAACCTCCGACCGAAGAGGTCAGAATAGTTAAACCGGTTTGGTTTATAGTACGTGTGAACGCAACACGATGCTGTCTTAAAAACCCCAGCGATTATGAACTGGTTTACAAATAAGCGTCTGAACGGGCTATAAGGTCAATGGTTTAGAGATACAGTCGTCTTTATTAGTCCAATCGGAGCAGAACAGTAGGACGTTAAACCCCATTTAATTTTTGCTTGATAAACAAAAGATAATCCTAGCCTGAACATTGAATAATTGAAACCCATTTGTTTGTAACATGGTTTCTGACAAATCAGAATCAAGGCAAATGATCTACATGTCGCAATTTCGGCTCTTTCGAACTTAACATCATTCAAGTTGAACATACATTATGCAAGAGCTAAATTTGCCCATTGCAGGTCTTTCTTTAGGTCTGAAATGTTATAGAAATTATTAATTAGACATTAGCTTATCCAGACATAATCGCTAGCCCGCGATATTTAGCGGATTGGAATACATTTTTTGAAAAATAATTAAACGCAAAACTGGATAATCGAGACTTTTTTTTTTATCGTACTCACTTTAGTAATGATGATTGAGGCTGGCCTAAAATTCAGTCGCTAATATCTCGGTTCAGAGTGGAGCAATTCGACTGAAATTTTCATCATATTCTATTGACGTTATCTATTGTTAACTATTATAGTGAGAACTGTCACTGTCAACTCTTTATCTAATCTCCCATAATGTATCTTTAAAAAGTTCGTTCCCACCATAAAAACATTCCACCATGAATTGATTTATAACATTTTCTATTTACAGATAATGGAAAACTCCATTTTGTGGAAAAATCACTTCAATCTCCCATAATGTATCTTTAAAAAGTTCGTTCCCACCATAAAAACATTCCACCATGAATTGATTTATAACATTTTCTATTTACAGATAATGGAAAACTCCATTTTGTGGAAAAATCACTTCAAGCCGATAAAAAACAATGGCGGATTGACAACACACCAGATGACGTGGCATCGTTAGAGGCGGAGCTAGGTGATAGTAATGAATATTCATTAGAGATAGTTGATGAACGTAGCAGTGATATACCTAGACGTCGCTATGATGTTGTAGAACTGGGACATGAAGAGTATTTTAGGGGCTGGGCTGATGTACAAGGTGTAGGAGCTGCCAATGATTACTGTCGGTTAGTATTTACCCACCCCCACTCTCCGCTCTCAATCTGATTAAAATACGGAACCGATTTCGTTTTTTTTTTTTTTATTGTTCAAAATTTCGTTTACTTGTCTTTACTACACTAGGATCTGGAAGAGTTGTTATATAACACATATCCTATTTCGTTTCTTTTTTATAGTTCAAAATTTCGTTTACCGGTCTTAACTACACTAGGATCTGGAAGAGTTTTTATATAACCCGCGTTCTGGGTGATGTGAATGATTAGCCAATGAAACAGTTTGTTTTTGGGCGTGAACATGTGCACGGAACATGTGGGTAACCCACTAGAAACAACAACGCTGATTGGTTAATCAAATGTCAAAAGCCGCTTGTAGTGTAGTGTAGGCCATCGAAAGTATAAAAAAAACGAAACGAAATATAGATCTGTATTTTAATCAGATTAAAACAAACCAATATGTAGCTAACCATTCTGCTGCCACCCCTCTGTAACGAATCTCATTTGAATTATTTCGATTACTGCTACAAATTACCTCGTAGCCTCAATCAAGGACGGAATGGGGTTCTGGTCCAAGCAATATTTTAAAAATCTGCAGTGTAAATGGTGCCTTCTATCTTGATGTGTCTGGCTTATGAAGAAATTGAGCGTGTGGCAAACTTACCATTTTTTTTAAAGACCCCTACGCGCAAGCGAATTATAGAAATAAAATTGAACCATATGTTAGTCCCCAAATGACCTAGTGTGTGTCAAGTGGACGTTAACACCCCCCTCTCTCTCTCTCTCTCTCTCTCTCTGACGGTTGTTGTTACGAGAATAAACAATCTACGCTACAACTTCAAGCAGTCATGACTTCGCCCTAAATAAAGTAATTTGAAATTTTCAATATATTCATTTTTTATTATCTATTTTTGAACTGTAATAGTAAGAATGGACAACTCTAAATCTTACATAATGCATCTTTAATTAGAGTGCTATTTATAGGCCGAATGTGACAAGGAGTAGGTCGCCTGTTCAATCTCTTCGGGTTCTCCGGTTTCCTACCACTGCTAAAGACCCCTAATTATTGAAATAAAATTGAACCATATGTTAGTCCCGAAATTATTTAGTTTTTAGACCGTTATTTGTTATTTTTCAGAGTTATAGGCCGAGGTAAAAGAAAGTTTTTATCGTGTGTATTGGCTGGAAGTACGGGACAAGATCATTATTATGTCTCAGCACTAGGTTTTCAGCCTGGTTATTCGAATACCTGGTTCATGAGAGATGTCGATAGTGACGGTCGAGATGATTACTGCAGGTAATAAAAAAAGCACCTGCTGGGGTCTCTAACGGTTGCCCTGTAGATTATAAGATGTTTCGGGAGCCGCGGTGTCTCAGGGAGTAAGGCACTGACTCGCTAACCAGACGACCCCGGGTACGATCCTGGTGTGGACCGATTAAATTTCTTGGGATTTTCCTGAATACCCCCAACCCCCTTGTCAGTGGAGGGCCTAGCAACGAACAGCGTCAAGTCGTTGTCAAGGGACGTGCATACGTTGGCGTTGGCCTGCGCTTAAAAAAACACTTAAAAAAAACAGTTGGAATACGAAATAAGAGTTGGTCATAGCCCAGCTGTCTGGGCAAAATGTCATTCATAGCACACTGTATGACGTATGTCCGTCTTCATTAATCCACATGGGGAAACATGTAAGACGTTATACCATATTTCATTTCATTTGTTTAAGACTTGGTATCTGTTACTTTTCCGGCGTGGTTCCCCCTTGTCAGTGATGCTGGACGGAGGGCCTGACAAGGGCAGCTGTCTAGTCATTCGGATGGGTCGAAAAACCGAGGTCCCGTGTACACATTGGCGTGCACGTAAAAGATCCCTTGACAGCTGAAATTCAATATAAGAGTAGGCCGTAGTGCAGGCTGTCCGGGCAAAAGTTCCCTCGTAGCACACTGTATGGCGTATGCCCGTCTTCATTAGCCCAGTCGGAGCAAAACAGTAGGACGTTAAAACCCATTCAATTTCATTTATAAGACTTGTTATCTGTTCGGAGTCTTGTCCGTGGGTTTTCTCCAGGTAATCCGGTTAAATCCTTTATAATCACGCCTTTTATTGGAAGAAGATGAGCGATATTTAAGTGATCATTGTCTCAATGCCCGATCGGTGCAGAAAAGTAAGATGTAAAACCCATTTAATTTCTGCCTCCCGGTTATAAACCGATGTGCAGCTAATCACTCCGCAGTTATCTCCCCCTAGTCTCTTCACCTGTAACATATTGGCGTAACCATTGCCTTAAACAGGTTTAGATCTATTTGATAAGGCCAACTTCAAGTTTGATCAAAAGTCACGATATGTTAACAAAAGTAATCCCAACTCTTACCCTAACCATGGACCTAGTCCTAACGCTTACCGTACCCCTAACCTACAATCTCGCCAACAATCACGTGTCCTAACATTATTTACATATCAGCGACCTTGACGATATTGAGCTGGCCTCAACAAATAAGATTTTGCCTGTAACATATTGGAGCTGCCATTGCCTTGAACAGTGAATTACAGTCAAAGGATGTGCAATGAAATGGAATGGGGTTTAACGTCATACTTTACTGCAGACGGGCATACGCCATGCAGTGTGCCATGAGGGAATTTTATTTCAAATTCCAACAGTCAAGGTTTCTTGTACGTGTACACGGGAGCTCGCTTTTTCTATTACTGATTACCCGTCGCCCGTCTTCATTAGCCCAGTCGGAGTAGAACAGTAGGACGTTAAACCCCATTTCATTTCATTTCTTTACACCCGTCTTCATTAACCCAGGTGGAGCAGAACAATAGAACGTTAAACTCCATTCTTTTCATTTCTATTACCAGTACATGGTTAGTTTATGTTAGTGCGATGTTGTTTCCCTTAATCAGTTTGTATGGGGAGCGCGCTGGGTAACTCTTTCGTTGTCTGGCAACCTATCTTTAACAGTTAGTATGACGCATGTCAGAAAGAAAGAAAAAGGTGAGAATGGGACTATTTTTATAAAATAACCGATGATATTGTTTGGGTTCAGGTACATACTGAATGGGATTTCCATAGACAAGAGACGTTCTACCTAGTATGAGCCGAGTGGACATTAAACCCCATTTATCTTTTTCTCTTTATATTCCAGGTGTGTCGGAAAACCAGAAAATTCCAGAATGTCTTGTATGAAGGCAGGGGAACATGGATTCTACGGAAGTCCTGTTCAAGGCGGAAGTCAGTTCAGCTTTGACCTCCCCGGATCGTCTGGATGTCATAACAAAAAACTGAATCCCTTATTTGGGGCATAATGTTTCACGACAGAAGTACATTTATTTTAGTTTGTAATAAAAACCCTTTTTTTAACAAACAGATGTTTTACTGTACGACATTCCTAGTCTCGGTCACCCAGAACCTCCTAGTCTTCAACATACGGAGGGTCTGAGAAAGTTGTCAATATTTGACGTAAAGTCCATTGCCCATGCGTAACCGGGAGTTTGTTTTTAATGTGGTTGATTATCCAGTCTCTTTAGCCAAGTTAAGTAAGAGTTGCGCCCCTTCCCACAATAAATCCCATAATTCTTGCATTAATAATATAAACAAACATGAATCGTGACGACGAATTAGGATTAATTTTCAAAGAATAGATATGGCCCATGAAGAGAGAAATTTTACAATAAAAAATTAAGAGTGTTAGATATTGAACTCGCATGCAATCACATGGATTTTTTGAAATGACATTCTTAAATTAATTTCATGGGCGTAAATTTCTTGTTTAAAAGGAGTTACCTCCCTTAGACGTTGTTTATGGCAATGTAATAGACTGGATTATCTAGCCAATTTATCTCAAATGTTGACAACCCATCCAGACTAATATTCGTAGAATATTTTTCTGGATGATAAAGACTACGACATTCCCCACCACTAACATCATAGAGTTTTCTCCCCCGGGAGAAGATCTTTACTACAGAAGACTAAATTCATTGGGAGAGCCTGACAAGGAGAGCTGTCTAGTCGTTCGGAGGGGACAAAAAAACGAGTTCCCGTGTACACATTGGCATGCACATAAAATCTCCCTTGGCAGTTGGAATTCAATATAAGAATTCTGTAGCGCCGTTGTCAAGATAAAACACTGTATGGCGTATGGCTGGACCAGAACACTAGAACGCCATTTCATTTTATTTGGTTTCATTTTGTTTCTACATTAATTGTGAATGAAATGAAATGTGGTTGAATGTTCAACTGTCAAGGAAATGAAATGAAATGTTGTTTAATGTCCAACTGTCATGAAAATGAAATGAAATGGGGTTTAATGCCCCACTGTTCTGCTCCGACTGGGATAATGGAGACGGCTACTGTTATGTACCATGTGGACTAATTGAGACGGATATACGTCATGCAGTGTGCTTGGAGTATGGTGGCTGTTAGCGGCCATTCAAATTAATCTAAATCGTCGCCTTGTAAAGAAGGCGACAAGTCGACAAAATCAACCCGCCAACACGACAAAATAACCCGACGATCGTCGCCTTCATTTCGTCGACTTGTCGGGTCAATTCTGTCGACTTGTCGCCTTCGACTTATTCACAACCCGACAAGTCGACAAAATACAATCATTCCGACTTGTCGTGCGGCGACTTGTCTTCTCGGAAGTCAAACTCGAGCTTGCGCATTTGCTGATTGGATAACTTGCATGCGCACAGATTAACTTCCGAGGCGACAAGTCGCCGCACGACAAGTCGAAATAATTGTATTTTGTCGACAAGTCGAAGGCGACAAGTCGACAAATCGACAGAATTGACCCGACAAGTCGACTTGTCCACTTCTTTATAAGGCGACGAATTAGATGACATTTGAATGGCCGCTAACAGCCACCATATTTGAGGGTTGCGAATGTTATCTATTTGTATACCATGAAGAAGACTAAGATTCAAACGAGATAGCCATTTTAAAATATTACCCATAAATCCACCTGCTCTCGTCGGATTCTAATTGCCAAAAACAGGAACACCTTGTTACTGATCCCCCGGTCCACTGCATTCTCGGTATCAAATTATCTACCCTTGGTCGTAATCTTTGAATTCTTTGATTCTAAGAACCAATCAAAAACAGTTTACATACCAGTTTCAGCTTTTACGTTCACCACAAAACTGTAGTTGCAATAAACTTCGAGTAATGATTGTGTCGGAAGTGACATTTTCACCCCAGTCAACATCAAATCCCCGTAGAAAAAAAATTAAACGGTCAACCCTACAAAATTATGCTGGAGAAGATTGCCAAATGTGGCCCCCATTGTGCCTATAAAGATTGGAACCAACGGAATGTTGAGCAAAATGCTGCAGCCATTTAACATTGAATTCAATGAGCAAGTAATATGGTGTAAGACCATTACTTATCTTCCCGCTAGGATATAAAACGAAAGTAGATAAAATATAATAATGTTAGTTATTTTTTTTATTTTCCCTTATTAACAAGATACAAAAAACATAGATTATACATTGTATAAAAAATATCATGACAAATATTCATTATTAATAATATTCAATATTGTTGTATATACAATTATTCGTAACGACTTCTTGTCGATTAAGTTTTAAATTGGTACACTTTTTACCAGCAAATATTGTATTCCCAATTAGAATCCTGATGATAAATATTTGGCCTTTAACTCGGTCCATTTACATTTGGCCTTTAACCCAGTCCATTAGCATTTGCTTGATAATAAACAGCACACGTGTGGTCTTAATAGAGGGATTTCACTGTAATTGCTTTCCATAGAATTGTGACCTGTGGACTATTGAAACAAATTAACTAGGCCTTGGTGTTTACCATATTATCTAGCCTTGGAATGGAATGGCTATTATATTACTATACTAATCGAGACTAGACCTCTCTTTACATCAGGGGCTAAGTGAGAGGGACGCAATGACGAGCTTTGTGTCATGTTTTTGAGTTTTTACGCCCCCCCCCCCCTCGAGTTTCTGCGCCCCTCGCAAATGGCAACAAATCACGCGGTTTCTAGCAGTTTTCACCATTATGATCATAATCATAATGCTCAACCAATGTCAAACATATACCGTGGATCAGATATGATACAAATCGACTCTAGCATGTTCCACACAGCCCAATATTACCCGGTAGCACTGGGAATGACTGCCAAGATTCAAAGAGATAGCCATTTTAAAATATTACCCATTAGTGAGTGTATATAGCATGTTCCATACAGCCCAATATTACCCGGGAGCACTGGGAATGACTGCCAAGATTCAAAGAGATAGCCATTTTAAAATATTACCCATTAGTGAGTGTATATAGCATGTTCCAATACAGCCTAATATTACCCGGCAGCACTGGGAATGACTGTCGAGATTCAAAGAGATAGCCATTTTAAAATATTACCCATTAGTGAGTGTATAAAACGAACATACAATGACAAACATGTTATTTAAAAATTATTATCAACGTTAAACTACAGTTATAGTAAATAATCGATTGTCTAAGTTTTGGCGCTGAATAATCGAAGATAAACTTTTAAAATCAAGATTAACACAATAACAAAGTTTCTACGACCCTAAACAGAATGCCAGAAACATTGGAGTAAAAACATTTCTTAAAACATAAAAAAATAAGACTTGATTTTCCTTTCCTTAAAAAGGCGATAGAATAACGCGATGATGATGATGATCATACCAACGCTCAGACAATCCGGTTGTTGACGCAAGATACAAGAGTTACGTCCCCTATATGTCTAAGCTAAAACCCGTTAAATACATTTGATTAATTTGGTATAATTGGTTTTAAATAAATATACAAAAAGTTAATATATATCAAAAATTAATTGCTTGAATAAACGTAAATTGCACGAAATATACAGTGAAAAAAAGATGCAACTATTTAGAATAAAAAGTAACGCCTTTAGATACGCAGTTTATTTTAATTGTAAATTTAGCACGGGTCGTACTTTTGGTAAAACGGTCGAAACGTTTCGGTTATGTTTTCTCTAGAGAGTGCAAATTGACTTTAGACGCCATGTTTAGTTGTTTTTTTCAAGAATTTACGATCTGACTTCAGAAACTGTGTTTAGTATTTTTCAAGATGGTACGATCTGAAAGTAAGCCGTCGCGCCTAGTATTTCTGTAGTACATACGGCCTATAAATGTATGATGTTGAAGATCCTGAACGTAGTTCATCAGTATATTTATTGTCTGTCGGTGGGTAGTTTAATGGTGGAAGCACGCTACGGGCACCTGCTGGAGGGCGTGACCTTTCTACATAATGAGAGTACACGGGATCAGATCGCTCTTCGGGAAACCTCGAACCACGGGCGTATTCGCGGGAATAAGCTGGTTTCTCCTGCGGAATGTCTCGTCTGTCGTTGTTGCCATGGTAAGCACGTGAGTCAGGGTCTCGTGAAAATAAAGACGGGCCCGTTGCTGGCTCGGCGTATGAATACGGTCGTTTGATTGGTGCAAAAGAAAGGGCGTTAGGTTCAGCGTAAGAACGTGGTCGGGAGCCGAATGGTTTGTAATTGTAGTCGTCGCTGACGTACGCTCTGTTACCGTAACCATTATGTAGCGGTTTATCATCTCTGAAGCCCATGCTATCTTCCGACACATTTCCACTGCGTCGATCGTCGGTGTATGGCGAGGGTACAAAATATTTCTTTCCGTTATTGGCATTGATCATCGTCGGGGTCAAGGCCATTTTGGGGTCACCAGATATAGGTATCTTAGCCATGGGATCCCTTTCTCTACCGCAGACAATTAATAAAACTGTAACGACCACAAATATAATGCCTGCAATCAGAGTCATTATCCACGCCCATGGAAAACTGGCCGAGCCGAATAGGTCGGAGCTGTCACGAATGATCTCATGGTAGAAACCAGCGAATATTGCTACGCCAACGAACACACAGATCCCTAAAATATATAAATTAATAATTTAAATTAAACATACATTATGCGAGAGATAAATCTGCCTATTGCAGGTCTTTATTTAGGCCTGAAATGTTATCTAAATTATTAATTAGACATTAATTAACTTATCCAGACCATAATCAACTCTCGATGTCATCACTAGCCTGTGATATTAACTGGATTTGAATCCGATCTGCTGCTCAACGCTCATTGATCATTAAAATATATCCAAAAATGGATAATCTAGACTATGTTTTTTATCGATGATCGAGGTTAGGCCTAAAATTTAAAAGCTAATATCTCGCTTCAGGGTTGATCAAATTCCCTTAACATTACCCTGTTTGTAACTATTATAGTGATAACTGTCAGCTCGTTATTGAATCTCCCATAATGTCCGTTTAAATGGTAACATACAAAGATGTATAAAGCATTCACTAATGGGACTAATGTCTACTAATGTCTTCAATACTTCACAAGAGCGCTTGGATGGAGGTGGGTGGGGTGGGGGGTCAAGTGGTATAACGCATGCGTTTTAGATCATAATGTATGTCATTGAGTCACGTTTGATTCATCTGCCAAACCCCGTTGGGTGTCTCCTGTGCGCATGTGATTGTTGAGGTGCCATGCGTTAGCCTCGAAATGACCTCGATTGTCTCGAGCTGTTAGGTGAGTTGACGTTTTAGACAGTCTGGAAGTGCCAACTAGTATGTGCATCTGATTAACCTTGTGGGGTTGCTGTCGGGGTATTTGGTTTACTCCCATTCATAGGGACCCCTGCACCTTTAGTCTCGCATAGGTGCATCATAATTATTGAAAGAGTGTGTGAGTTAGAGAGAGAGAGACAGAGAGGGAGAGAGAGAGAGACAGAGAGGGAGAGAGACAGAGACAGAGGGAGAGAGGGAGACAGAGACAGAGAGGGAGAGAGAGACAGAGAGGGAGGGAGAGAGAGACAGAGAGGGAGAGAGAGAGGGAGAGAGAGAGGAGAAACCGGAGAAACCCTAAGGTGTTGGACAGGCGACCCTACTGTACTCCTTGTCACGTACAAACGGAAATCGAAACCACGCCACTTTGCTTATTGGCAGACCTTATGATATAACGCGTTGACCATTGGTCCCCTCCCCCTCCCCAATTCTTGAAAATGTAATGGCTATAATCAGTGCCCCCAGCCCCAGCCCCACCCGTCCGGTATCATTGATAAGGGCAAGCCACGCCGGAAAAAAAATCCGAGGAACGGAAGGGATTGAACACGAGATCCCCTAATAAGCGAGTCTATGTCTTACTCGCCCGTCCAGTAACACATACCATTACCCTCCCCCCTCTCTCTCTCTCTCTCTCTCTCTCTCTAATAAAACCTTACTTACAAGTTATGACCGAGAGCAGTATTACACCCATTTTTAACATTCGGACATTATCCCACGTGGCCCAACCAATTCTCAGAATAACGAGGGCTATACATAACAGTACTCCACCAATCACACATGCTGACTCAAATCCACGTAGTACATTCCATTGCCATGCACTATAATACGCATCTGAAAAACACAAAAACAATTATCATTAAAGATTCGTTATATAAGAGCTAAATATGTCTATTGAGGGGGTGGGGATAGGGGGGGGGGGGGTTATACACTATAATACGCATCTGAAAACAAAAATAAAAACAACTTTATAGAAGCGCTATCATTTAACAGCTAAATCTGTCTATTGAGGGTGGGGGGGGGGAATTGCCGAATGGTTAGCGCGTGCGCGTTGTAACATAAAAACAACTTTATAGAATCGCTATCGTTAAAGATTAGTTATGTAAGAGCTAAATCTGCTAATTGGGGGGGGGGGGGGGTAGCGCCTGCGCGTTGTATCATAAGGTCTGTCATTGAGTCAACTGGCGTGGTTTCAATTCCCCGGCTATACGTAACAAGGAGTAGGATTGTCTGTTCAACCTCCTGGGTTTTCTCCTAGTCCTCCGGTTTCCTCCCACTGCTAAAGACCCCTACGCGGAAGAGAATTATTGAAATAAAATTGAACCATATGTTAGTCCCGAAATGACCTGGAATCGAAACGATGCCAGTTGACACAATGACAGACCTTATGATACAACACGCACGCGTTAACCATGCGGTCACCCAACCCCGCTGATAAATCAAACGATGTCAGTGAATGTTAAAACTTTAGGGGAGCGACGGTGGCTCAGTGAGTAAGACGTGGACTCGCTGGCCTGGAGGTCGGGTTTTCGATCCATGCGTTTGCCGAGAAAGTTCATATCGGGATTTTCCGGCGTGGTCCTCCACTGCGAGTAGTGCAGGACGGAGAGACTGGCAAGGAACAACGTAGAGTCTCTCGGATGGGACGCAAAAAATGAAATGAAATGAAATGTGGTTTAACGTCCTACTGTTCGCTCCTAAACTGGGCTAATGAAGACGAGCATACGCCATACAGTGTGCTATGGGGGAAATTTTGCCTGGGCAGCGGCACTACGGTCTACTCTTATATCGAATTCCAACTGCCAAGTATTCTTTTACGTGCACGCTAATGTGTACACGGGACCTCGGTTTTTCGTCCCATCCGCACGACTAGACAACTGTCCTTGTCAGGCCCTCCGCCCTGCATCACTGACAAGGGGAGCAAGTAAAGGAACCCTTGACAGTTAGAATTCGCTATAGGAGTAGGCCGTAGTCGATGCATACCTGTAGGCGGTTTATTTCCATTAAAACATAATCTGAAAATGATGGGTAATGACAGTACGCGTGAATATAAATAATCATTGATATAATCTGAACGTCTCTCTACAACAAGACTATATATTGTCGGTGAAGTGTCAAAAGGGTGTATCTAAGAATTTCTTAAGATTAAGAAATAGAACCTTTTGCATTTCAAAACTTCCACAAATCAAGATACAACATTTGGAGACATGATACCCAGAACAGTTCTAATTCGCGTAGAGATACACAGCTTAGACAGAAATATGCATATTAATTGGGAGATTTTAAAAATGCAAAAAAGTGTATTTGACTAATTTCACCAGATACACCCTTTTGAAACTTCACCGACGTATAATAATAACAATACTCTATCTGTATCATATTATATTACTTGAAATTTTTAGACTATTAATGTAAGCCTCCTTTTTGTATCCATTTATTTATGCCTTTAAAGTAGCTAAGTCTCTAACTCAATATCATCCAAAATCTTCGACATTGAAAACACGAATTATTTGTCGGTTTGAATCAACATTGATGTGATCTTACCGGGAAAAGATGGCCTTCTGATATCCAATATTTAAGACAAAATAAACATTTAACAATTGGTATACGAATCGTTTACCATAATGCGTTTCAGCGCTATTTGTAATAAGGGACTCAAAAAACGAGGCTAGGCATATTCCACAAGTCATGTCAAACGGTGACGCTATATTCTTATCTGGAGAGCATGCCCAATAAATACTATCGGCGTAGATTGGAATAACCAGAAGCTAGAGATTGAAATTCAATTGAGAATACTGGCGTATTTCGCCGAACCTAACTGATTAAGAATTACAGTAAAAACGGAAACGATTGAATGTAAATCAATTTATATACATTCATATTACATTATTGTATGTGTTACGACCCATTTGTGTCAATTTCTAGGTCCAAAATATTAGCGACTTAGCTCCTTTAACTTGTACAGTATCTTGTTACTGGAGCTGGATAGGCGGTCTGGTAACGAGCACTGTCTAGTCGTTCGGATGGGACGAGAAAATCTGAGGTGTAACAAGAACCATTAGTGTGTGTGGGGGGGGGCGGTATCGCTGTCCATGGTACACCAAATGACGTCTATTCAGGTGTGTGTGTGTGTGGGGGGGGGGGGGGTCGCTGTCCATGGTACACCAAATGATGTCTGTTCAGGTGTGTGTGTGTGGGGGGGGGGGGGGGGGTCGCTGTCCGTGGTAAACCAAATGACGTCTGTTCAGGTGGGGAGTATAGGTTAGACATTAAACAGCATTTCATGTCGAGATAAATATTGTTTAAACAAAGACTATATATAGATGAGATTTATATATATATACGCCCTGGTGAATAACATAAGATAACAATTCTACTAAATCACCCAACCACATAGTTCGTATAAATAAACACCTCTAACATAACACATCGACTTTTATTAAATGTTGACATAATTAAAGTATGGGACACAGGTTTAGTGTTAAATGATAAGGCCAGCTCAATATTTCGTCATTTCGTCATAGACTATCATCGCTTGACAAAGGATACCACTCCGAAATGTGCATCGCGAGTTAATCGAGGAACTTCACTACTATATTTCATGTAAGATTTTTTTTCTTTTTTGCATATTTATTGTATATTTTATGTAACCCCCACACTTTTGTTATACTTGTTAATTTTTTCTTTTTTGAACTGAATTATTGGGATTTAACCACACTACGGTGTGACCAATAAACACTTAAATTCAAACGATTTATTGTATTTTCACAGTTACTGTTCTCCCAATTTCATTCCGTCACGTTACAATTCAGGGAAATTACTATAAACGCTTGAGCACAAGCCTTAATCAATCCGCCATTTAATTCCACATTATTTGTCTTAGCATCGCCGAATATCCAAGATCTGAACAAGTTCGTCAAGCCGGCAATGAAAACACCTACCTCATCCTTGTCGTCACACTACCGAGCCATGCTAGCGGAGAAACTAGAGTACTTGAAGTCACGTCACTTTAACAAAGATGTTGTACAGGATTACTCTAGCCACGCCCTAGCATGGGCCAAGAAGTCCTACGGCAAGCGACTTCAGGATAGTGTGAAGACGGAGTTCCATCGCCCCCTGTCCACGGTCTCTAAAACTGTTACACATCCTCCCCCATCACCAATGCACATTACACACAACCTTCTCCGGGACACACCAAAACGATACACACCCAACAAGAGAAATTTATCCCCTGGAGAAGGCACATGCATTAACACTCCCTCGAAGCGTGCAGCTAGATCAACCTGTTCGCCCCGGGTTGTGTCTGGCCCACCCACTTCCTCGGGATCTATATCGCCACTAAACGCACTTGTCGACTGTCTGTCCCCTAGATCGCCCATCATTCCTAACCCTAGAATCACCACCAGATCTTCCACCAGATGTAGACGTTCACTCAACATATCACTAAAGAGACCTCACAGCTACAAAGGTAAAGACGGGAAGGATTTGTGGTACCTACCAGCAGTCAAGGCAAAGACCCTGGTTATTGGATCCTCTAACCTGGCTAGGATTGTATCCTTCCTCGGGGACTGGGAGATCCATAGCTATTCTGGAGCCAAGATCAGCCACATCAAACAGATCCTCCAGAGCTACATGGGACCTGCACCAGAAGAATTAGTGATACATGTCGGGCTCAACAACAGGGAGGAAAGTGGACCAAGGATACAAGAGCAGATGCTAGATCTACTCAAGGTGACCAGAGCAGCTTTCCCAACAACCAAGCTCTTCACCACACAGATTCCCACTTCTTCCCGTCTCCGACAAGAAAATCCGATCGCCTACCAAAACCTCACCAGCTACAACCAATTGATCTCCACTGCACCTTCACCAAACGCCACCACACTACCACACTTCAAGGGCAAAATTGAATTGAAAGGTAACGACGCCATCCACTGGAGCCCGGACACGGCCAGAGAGATCATCAACTGCTGGATGAGAAATTTAAACTAGGATTAGGGAAAAGGAATGAGAAGCCGTCTTTAGGACAGACAGTTGTCAATTTGAGTGACAGACTTCTCAGCCCCCTAGAAATGAACATTCTTGATAAAGGCCTTAAATTCATCCCAACCCCTACAATAACATCCATAGACCCCATCACCCAGGCAACCGATCGCTTCCAAAGAACACTTTTGTTGATTTATTTTTTTAGGAACAAACCCGGCAGAGGTAAGAAATTATTCACAGAAAAATCCACATGGAAACCACCTAAAAAGTCATTATCACCAGCCATCCTAAAAACTTTCGATGAAATGAACACAGAAATATCATCCCTTCTGCCACAATCTCAAAAACCAAATCTCAACCGAGCAACTAAAACAGCATTAAACACCCTCAAAAAATACAAAAACATAATAATTAAGAAAAGCGACAAAGGCTCGTGTTGTGTCATAATGAATCGCGCAGACTATATCTCAGAGGCAGAAAAACAATTAAGTAATCCTATACATTACACTAAATTAGACCAACCCATCTTTAAGGACACCGCAACTTTAATAAACAACATCTTACATGAATTGCAAGACAAGGAATACATAACAGCAAAACAATATGATTATCTTTCCGCCAAATCTGACTGTCGACAACGACATCTCTATACGCTACCAAAAATACATAAAAATCCAGAAACGGAAAGGTTTATACCCAATAAATTACCCAAGGGACGCCCAATAATATCAGACTGTGGCAGCGAATCATACAATGTATCACAATATATAGATCATTTCTTATTACCCCTAGCATGCCAACACCCATCATACCTTAAAGACACTAACGAGTTCTTTCACAAAATTAAACAG